TTGACACCCTCAAGCAAGAGGGTAAGACACAGAAAGAAATTGCTGAAGGAATAGGCTGTTCCCAGAGTGCTGTATCAAGGCACCTCAGTGGGAAGTCTGTGGGAAGGGAAAAGTGTGGCAGAAAACGCTGCACAACGAGAAGAGGTGACCGGACCCTGAGGAGGATTGTGGAGAAGGGCTGATTCCAGACCTTGGGGGACCTGCGGAAGCAGTGGTCTGAGTCTGGAGTAGAAACATCCAGAGCCACCGTGCACAGGCATGTGCAGGAAATGGGCTACAGGTGCCGCATTCCCCAGGTCAAGCCACTTTTGAACCAGAAACAGCGGCAGAAGCGCCTGACCTGGGCTACAGAGAAGCAGCACTGGACTGTTGCTCAGTGGTCCAAAGTACTTTTTTCGGATGAAAGCAAATTTTGCATGTCATTCGGAAATCAAGGTGCCAGAGTCTGGAGGAAGACTGGGGAGAAGGAAATGCCAAAATGCCAGAAGTCCAGTGTGAAGCACCCACAGTCAGTGATGGTCTGGGGTGTCATGTCAGCTGCTGGTGTTGGTCCACTGTGTTTTATCAAGGGCAGGGTCAATGCAGCTAGCTATCAGGAGATTTTGGAGCACTTCATGCTTCCTTCTGCTGAAAAGCTTTATGGAGATTAAGATTTCATTTTTCAGCACGACCTGGCACCTGCTCACAGTGCCAAAACCACTGGTAAATGGTTTACTGACCATGGTATTACTGTGCTCAATTGGCCTGCCAACTCTCCTGACCTGAACCCCATAGAGAACCTGTGGGATATTGTGAAGAGAAAGTTGAGAGACGCAAGACCCAACACTCTGGATGAGCTTAAGGCCGCTATCGAAGCATCCTGGGCCTCCATAACACCTCAGCAGTGCCACAGGCTGATTGCCTCCATGCCACGCCGCATTGAAGCAGTCATTCATGCAGAAGGATTCCCGACCAAGTATTGAGTGCATAACTGAACATGATTATTTGAAGGTTGGTGTTTTTTGTATTAAAAACACTTGTCTTTCATTGGTGGGATGAAATATGCTAATTTTTTGGGACAGGCATTTTGGGTTTTCATGAGCTGTATGCCATAATCATCAGTATTAAAACAATTAAAGACCTGAAATATTTCAGTTGGTGTGTAATGAATCTGAAATATATGAAAGTTTCATTTTTATCATTACATTATGGAAAATAATGACCTTTATCACAATATGCTAATTTTTTGAGAAGGACCTGTATAATATAGCAAAAAAAAAAAAAAAAAAACGTTTTTAGGAAACTATTGCTTTCTAGTTTTTATATTGCTTAAAGGTATAGTTTTTTCAAATGATTGGGGTGGTCAAAGATTAATCTGTGTTGGCCATGGCCACTATTGGCCACCGTCTGGCTCCTCCACTGTGCCAGTATCCATCACTCCTTACTGCCTCAGATTAGAAAAAATCAAACAAAAAAAACACACTTCTCTGCTTATACACAGTGTACCGGTAACTCCTACTCTCATACATTCCCTGTTCAATTCCAGTCCAGGAAAACACTCATCTCATGGAAGTTAACTCACACGTGTTAATTTCTTAAAAATGAATAAAGTGTTTTGTTTTCTGTTTCTCATCCAGATGGCTGTTTCCAATCATCGGTCACATGGGAATCTGCACTTCCACCGGTGTCATCCGGGACTTTGCTGGGCCCTACTTTGTCTCGGTGAGTAATGACTGTTGTGCTGCGTACTTTAAGGTGAACTTGAGAAATTGCCACAGCATGTGTGCTGAAGTGAGTCAGAACAGTAGACGTGCTCTTATACAGCATGTGAGGCGAGTTGATGAGCATGGACTCTTACAGCATATTCAGTTTTTGAGAAAAATTAAACTTTTTTGAAAACAATTTGCCTTAAACAGTTACAAAGATGACAACTATAAAAACATTAATCCATTATCTTACGCTTGTTCCAAAGTGGGGTTGCGGGGGCAGCAGCTTGCGCAGGGAGGCCCAGACATCTCTTTCTACAGCCGCCTCTTCTAGCTCTTATGGGGGGACCCCAAGGCATTCCCAGGCCAACCGAGAGATATAGTATATGGGCCTTTTCCATAGCTCCACGTCAGCACGACTCGACAGTTCAGTACGCTTCCGAGCCCTTTTGCATTGTCACTTTTTCATGGAACCGGCACCTTTTTTGATCCTTTCTTCTCTTGGGTTCCAAGCGAGCTGAGTCAGCACCAAAATGTGACGTCAGAACACAGTCGGTCACTGATTGGTCAGGGGGCAGAGTCACTAGAGGGGTTTGAGCATTTTCACAACACTCGATCCACCATTTGCAATTAACGGTGTTCGAACTCGAGGAGTGATTGGACCTATTTGGAAGATTTTAAAAACAATAATGACAACACCGTGGTTAGGTCTGGGTACCTTTCTAAAAAAAATCGGTGTCTGTGTCAGTACTTTCGCTTCAGTGTCTGTTCCTGGATGGTTCTTTTATCATGATGGTGTCTCCAGCAGTAGAAAATGTTCACTCTGAGGGTGTGGATGATGCTTGTTGCACACACAGATACCTGGTTGTCAGTTTGACAGCACTGACATATTGTCCCTCACATTCCACCAGCAGGTCACTGGATTCACTGAGGGTAGGGTTGATGCAGACTTCTGCACCTTTGTGTCTCTTCCTGAATCTTCTCTGTGGTTCTCTGGGGTTTAGGGCTCTGATCATCTCCCTAACTGACATGAGAACAAAACATCAACAATAACATAGTTGTGTTATTATTGATCAAAAACCATTATCTAGGCTGAGAGATAAAAGTTTAACTGGTCAACATAATCCTTTACAGCTTACGGACGCTGCGGTCCCCCTTGAAGACAAACACTGAGCAACTTTCCGCTCGTAAATTGAAGCTGTTCGGCAACACACGTGAACCCCGTCTGTAGGCGTAACCAGGTTTTGGTGCTTCTGGCGGCATGGACAGGGGCAGATCCTGCTGGAAGATTAAATCTGCATCTCCGTACAGATCCTCAGCAGAAGAAATCATGAAGTCCTCTAAAACATTCTGGTAGACTGTTGTTGTGAACTTGGATTTAAGAAAGCAGAGTTTACAAACACCTGCACCTAGGGCTGTATACCAAACCAAGGTTCATTTATGGCACCGATCAACCTGCGTCGGTCGATGTATGAATTGAAACATCACTCTTCTTTTGGTGTCAAGTTTCGGTACTGAATGTAACGTGTCACGTGGTTTCAGCATGCAGGCAGGTAAAACATCAGACATATGACAAACAGACTACGTGTTTACACCCAGAGCTGTATAGAGCTGCCATATATCTATATGTCTATGGTGCTGGTTAGATGCCCATGCCACAGTGCTTGACTGGCCAGCCAACTGGTCAGACCTAAACCCCATTGAGAATCTATGGGGTATTCTCAAGAGGAACATGAGAGGCACCAGACCCAACAACAAAGAAGAGCAGACAGCATCAAGGAAATCTGGGCTTCCATAACTTCCAGTCAATGCCACAGGCTGATTGTCTCAATGCCACGTCACATAGAGGCAGAGATTAAGACAAAGGGATTCACAACCAAGTATTGAAGATTGACATATCGTTTTGAAAGTACCATATTTTGATTGATTTGTTGTGATCCTAATTTCTTTCTTTTTTTTCTGCAAAAACTGAGTAGTGTGTGCTGATGTCTTCACAGTATTCTAATTTTTTGAAATCCTGTTTTCATGGGTTTCATGAGCTGGAAGCCCAAATTATGTAAAAATAAACAAATAAATACTTGAAATTGTTTTAATTGTGGGCTCTGAATCTATCATATTTTTTTTTTTTTCATTTAGCCTTTATTTATCCAGGTTAGTCTCATTGAGCCACGAGAACTCATTTTCAAGAGAGACCTGATTAGGGAGCACATGGTGGGGGTTAAGGGCCTTGCTCATGGGCCCAGAGTGGGGCGAATGAGGGTGGGGGCAAGTGTGGGTGTTTCACCTACCCCACCCACAATTTTGATGTTGTCGGGGCCGGGGCGTGAACCGGCGATCTTCGGATCACAAGCCCACCTCTTTAACCTCTGCGCCACCACTCCCCCCAAAATATATTACAGTTTAGCTTTTGATTGGAATTATAGAAGTCAAACAACTTTTACATTATATTCTAATGTTTTAGAAAGAGTCTGCATATTGTTTTATATCAAAATAGTCTCAACTTATATCGCAAAAAAACCCAGACAATAAGACAATAGACAATGACAACAATAAACTACAGTAAAATACAGTTAAAATAAGAGTAGTATACAAAATAATGAATCAGGGTGCCATAAAACAGGTTGAAATACTAAAAACAAGAACATGTTTGCTTTGATTTTTCAATTGACATTATCAAATGTTTGAAACCACTTAATGAAATCAAGGTAGACAACTTCAGTTCCTGTTGCACGGTGTTCCAGGTTGCAGGAGCTGAGTAGAAAAAGGTCTTTTTGCTGAGTTCAGTCCACACTGAGGGAACGCTGCAGGTAATGATGGCCTGAGAACGCATGTTGTAACTGCACTGATGACGTGACATGTGGGAGGAGGTATAAGAAGGTAGCAAACCAAGGAGGAAAGATGAAAATGAACCAGTGTTAGAGCTGTAGTGAGCTAGACCTCCGACATCAATCTGTCTCTGAAGACCTTCAGGGGACAGGAACTGTTATTTCATTGATTTGAATCCAGAAATACAAATTATCTCATCAAGAGACTATTTAATTGTATCCTGAATTAATCAATTGAAAGAACACTCTTCTTTTTTATATTATCATTAGTATTTTACAATATCTTGATAATCCAAAGTGTGTTCAGTTCATACCATTTCTAATGTTGAAGTAAACCACTCATTTAAATCAACTGTGAAACAGTATTAATGATTTTTAAACCTCATTAGACTTGGATCAGACAAGTTAAATGTCTATTTACGAAGTAAGTGCACATTTTAATCTTCTGTCTGAATGAGGAGTGGATTTAATGTCGGTCAAAAGTCAGAGAACAAGTTATGAGAACGAAGTGCCTTGTTTTTAAAACTCTCAGACAGTAAATAAGAAACTGGCGCCTCTCACTTCTTCAAAATATTTTCCTGTCTGTACTAACCGTTCTTAAAAACATTTCTGCTGTCTGTTGACTTCTAATAACCCTCTGACATCACTAAAACACCACCCCTGCTGGTTGTGTCAACCAATCAGGAAGTACCAAGTGACAGGAAGTGGATACCCTTTAAAAGTCAACAATTCTTGGAACTATTCAGTCTTCCTGGAACTTTAAGTCTTATGCCCCTTTTCCATTAGTACCTGTAGTACCGGTACAGCACGGCTCTACTCTACTCGGTACGGTACAGGTTGCGTTTCCATTATGCTTTCAGTACCGGTTCCAGTGGGCGGGGTTCAAATTGACGTCACCACCTCTCACCAGCTGGTGGCGCTGAGACACAGAAACTGTTTTCAGTACAGGTTGAGAATTTATGTTATTTTGAAGTTGTGTGTATGTATGTATGCATGTA